GTGATATCATCCGTGAAAGTGGGAATATTATCCCTATAGCCACCTTGAAAGTGACACCGGCAACCTGCCAGTCTTCGGCAGCACCAGCTGCTTGGAAGAAAGCGCAATTCGAAACTGTACGTAAAACCAATAACCAGATTGCTAAATTGCATTATATACGTGGTCAGTGTTTCAGCTGGGTAATAGTGTTGACACGATAATGCTGAAGATTGCGTACTGTAACATCGCTCCCGTCGGTGTCTACGGAGGTAGTCGTTTCTTGTGCTTTGCCTGGGGAACAGACACCTTTATGTATATTACTATGTTGACTGTGAAAAAAAAAACATTGCGTTCAACCAACTTCAATTTACGAATGCCAGACGCCTGCTCATGACCGATCAGTGTCAAGACTTCTGCTTCTCGACGCTGCCTTCGCATCCCTTCAAAAATAACATGAGCGTCTCCAGCTTGTTATTTCTCTAAAAGATGAAAAAAAAATTATGCCGACCAAGTATGCACTGCAATACAGAAAATGATTTCTTGGCTTTTCGTTGTTTCGATTCCCCAGTTCCTGCTCGGCCGTACCTTCATTTTTTCTAAAATGAATCGCAATGCTCAAAGAAGCTCAGTGTTTTTTCCCTTTAAAAATGAACATTTATTTCCTCCCAAATAAATAAGATTTATGGCATGGTGGTCGTGCGAAAAGTACATGTTAGATACACTAGCGAAACCTAAACCAATATCACACGAAAACAAAAAAACAAACTACTTAGCGTAATAACACATGTGCAGAAGCTCCACCCACGTAGCTTTGGCTGTGCTGCCACAGAAAGTTGTCGCCGTGTAGTTTAGTTTTCGCAGTGTTCACTAGATGGTGGTAGTTGATGCATGATGTTATAAAACTAGATGGGGATATTTGGAGTGTTCACTAGATGGTGGTACTTGTAGTTGATGAATAGATGCAAGGTGTTATAAAACCATATGGCCATACCTGTAGTTGATAATAAAAGATGCGAGATGTTATCATATGAATGATGTCGTATATGGCGCGTGTCGATGGTGGAAGGCAATCGTTCGATTTAGTGCGGCGACGTACAATAGGGGGAGCATTGTAATAAAATTCGTTCACTGGTGGCGCGCTGTGAAGCTGCGCGACACAGCTACCAAGAACATGCCATACGAGAGCGGGAGGCCCAAGCGGCACAGCATAGTGTTATGACCGACATCTGTAGGCGCCATGCTGTCGCTGAGAAACGTAGCCGGGCAGTGCTCCCTCGCCCGGAACCCCAGTTTCTCGGATCCAGTGGCGGGGAGCGACAAAGGGATTAGAAGATGGGCCGAGAGCCAATGTCCCTAAAAGCAATTCCTCCGGGCCAGCTTGTTTAGCGAGACTGCAAAGCAGACCAACCGCACAGGTCATGTCTCAGCGATTCAAGCCTCTACTCCTTGGTTGCCCTTTTAAGGAAAGACGGAAGAAGCAACCTAAGCGCCATATTGTTCCGGGAGAGAACCCCATTTCCCCTCTTCTCAGAGAATTGAGTTGGGAGAGGCAATAACTATTCGGTGGACTGTGCGTTACTGACTGATGCCTGTGGGTGGTGTTTTGCTTGTGTGATTGGTGTTCCATTCAAGGAGGAGGAGCCCGACAGGGCTTAAAAGGACGCCGTAGAGTGCCGGACGTCGCTCTGGACCATGTAACAGTTCAACCACCACGCTCGTTGTTTGTGAACTCCCAACCTCTCTATGCTGTGAATAAGTGTAAATAGTGCCATAAACCTGTTTGTTTTTCGTATCCCCATTTTGTCAGCGTTCGTTTCCTCAACCCGAAGTTACACCACACTACCACAAAAGACCGGGTAGACCCCGGTCGGCAATAACGGGTGCTCAGCGCTGGGATTCGAAGCGACTACAGGTGAACAGCGCTGAGATCCGCAACAATACACACACAGTATTTCTCACGTCTTTAAATGATGATCGACTCAGTGAATTACATGGAAGATTCACTGTTAACCGATGATTCCCTCAGGAGCTTCGCCCACTCATCATCATTCACCTCGTGGATATGCTGTGATTTTTTTATCGTGGCACTGACTGGTGCCGAAACCTGGAAAAGCACTCACTTTTCATGTTTGATATCCGTCATACCACTTTGAATGATTTTTTGAAATTACAAGACCATGAAAGAGTGGCGCAAGAAAAGAGTGTGATTCAACATGTGCTCATCAGTCAGCAAGTCGGGGAACTGTTGCGAGTTGCAGTCGCCTGATTGGAAGTGCGAAAAAAGCCCAATGAGGGTGCCTTTTTATTACACGTACGTTACACACCAACACGACCACAAGCTATCAAACTTGAGTAGCGTACAGACTGATGTTATTGCTAACAAGTATGACGCAGGTATCAGTAATAGTGAATTTTAGTCTGTACGTAGAGACCACTTTGCATCCGTGTAATACCAGGTTCCTGCCACTGCAACTCTGAGAAGCTGAATAAGTAGGGCCATCAGGAGATGCAAAGAAGAACCTGGCAAGCAAAAGACATATTGTATTTACCCAGTGGCTCCTTGCCCATACCGATATTCCATTGATTCCTTTGGGTATACCTAAATGCCGTGCATGCCAAAGCTCCATGATATAACTAATTGAGACACACAGGCAAGCATGGCCGAAGCATGCGTCCTCGGGTACCTCCTCACTGCTGCTTGGAACGACCTTCATTTTAGAATCGCTGTTCTGAAAAGGTAGAATCAAAGCAAAAATCATTCATGACATCACGAAACGCGCCGATTTCACGCTCCAGACGGTCACATTCGACCCTTGTTGACACTTCATACGGCTAACACGGCAATGCAGGTGACAAGGCATTATTGAGTGTGTGCAACTAGCAGACGAAATGTTTGCGGAGCAGCTGACACTCGCGTTACTCTTAATAATTGCTGGAGTTTAACTTCCCAAGAGCATCATATGATTATGAGAGACGCCGTAGTGGAGGGCTCCGAAAATTTTGATCACGTGTGGTTCACACCGTGCACATAAATCTAAGCACATGGACGTCAAGCATTTTCGCCTCCATCGAAAATGCGGTTGCCACGGCCGGGATTTAATCCCGCGACCTGCCCTTCACGTCGTCACGTCGCTGTTTTATGGGGAGAAGTGGTCAGTTGTGGCCTGATCTGGAAGTGACAGCGAGGAAGCACTCCCAGAGCTAAAAACAGCGGGCTTGCCATTCGTTTTGAATTATGGCAGATCATCATCATCATCATCAGCCTGACTACGTCCACTGCAGGACAAAGGCCTCTCCCATGTTCCGCCAGTTAGCCCGGTCCTGTGCTTGCTGCTGCCAATTTATACCCGAAAACTTCTTAATCTCATTTGCCCACCTAACCTTCTGTCTCCCCCTAACCCGTTTGCCTTCTCTGGGAATCCAGTTAGTTACCCTTAATGACCAGCGGTTATCCTGCTTATGCGCTACATGCCCGGCCCATGTCCATTTCCTCTTCGTGATTTCAACTATGATATTCTTAACCGCTTTTTTTCCCTAATCCACTGTGCTCTCTTCTTGTCTCTTAAGGTTACACCTACCATTTATCTTCCCATTGATCGCTGTGCCGTCCTCAATTTAAGCTGAACCCTCTTTGTAAGTCTCCAGGTTTCTGCTCCGTAGCTAAGTACCGGCAAGATACAGCTGTTATATACCTTCCTCTTGAGGAATAGTGGCAATCTACCTGTCATAATTTGAGAGTGCTTGCCAAATGTGCTACATCCCATTCTTATTCTTCTAGTTACTTCGATCTCGTGGTTAGGATCTGCGGTTATTACCTGCCCTAAGTAGACATAGTCTTTTACAACTTCAAGTGCACTATTACCTATCTCGAAGCGCTGCTCGTTTCCGAGGTTGTTGTACATTACTTTCGTTTTCTGCAGACTAATTTTTAGACCCACCTTTCTGCTCTCTTTGTCTAACTCCGTAATCATAAGTTGCAATTCGTCCCCTGAGTTACTCAGCAATGCAATGCCATCGGCGAAGCGCAGGTTACTAATGTACTCTCCATTAACTCTTATCCCTAACTGTTCCCATTCTAGGCTTCTGAAAACCTCCTGTAAGGATGCGGTAAACAGCATTAGGGAGATTGTGTCCCCCTGCCTTACACCCTTCTTGATTGGTGTTCTGTTGCTTTCTTTATGAAGCATTATGGTAGCAGTTGATCCCCTGTAGATTTCTTCCAGGATGTTTATATATACTTCATCAACGCCCTGATTCCGCAGTGTCTGCACGACGGCTGACATTTCTACTGAATCAAACGCCTTCTCGAAACCTATGAAGGCTATGTATAGTGGCTGGTTATATTCTGAGCACTTCTCTATTACTGATTGATAGTATGAATGTGGTCGATTGTTGAGTAGCCTGTTTGAAATCCTGCTTGTTTCTTTGGTTGATTGAATTCCAATGTTTTCTTTACTCGGTTAGCAATTACCTTTGTAAATAGCTTGTATACTACAGAGAGCAAGCTGATCGGCCTGTAATTCTTCAAGTCCTTGTTAACTCCTTTCTTATGTATTAAGATGATGTTAGCATTCTTCCAAGACTTTGGTACTCTTCCCCTCAGGAGGCACCTTGTAAACAGGGTGGCTTCTTTTTGTAACCCAATCTGCCCTCCATCTTTCAGCAGATCTGATGTTACGTGATCCTCAACAGCAGCTTTGCCTCTTTGCATGCTCTCCAAAGCCAGTTGTATAAATCAATAAAAGTGATAGCTATTCATCTCTCAGTTACGTTTCAGCTCGCAGATCCCTACTAGAGGGTTGATAGCTAAACATTGAGGCAAAAATTTTTGCATGAGTAAATTTGATGTCAGTGCTCCCTTAAGATCGTTGTGATGCCCCCTTTTCAGAGATGTCTATTTTTTTAAGACAAGATTGTTTTCACTACCATTTAAACTGCACTCAGATCCACTAGAAGAGAAAAAAAAACTGCATGTTGTGCATATGACCACATGCACTGCAGGCTGCCATAAAAATGCCTACTTTGTCCACAATGGAGAATCCTCTGAAGACAAAGTTGATGTCTTGTGCTGTGCTGCAGGGGTCCGTGGTGCCGTCGATGTGCAAGTCCACGGAAGAAGGCTCAAAGAGCCAACCGGGAGGCGGGTCCACCCGCAGCGTGTAGTCCCCACGGTCGTACAGCGGGATCAAATAGTACCCATTGTTGGGTGCCCCTTCTGTCTGGTACTTCTGGCTACCCTGTCTCGTTAGTCTGCAGACAAATAAACAAATGACTACAATGATACTACACGCAAAGACAGGTTGTAATAATGCTCACTTTTCTTTCACGAATCAACTATATAACCTCTAGATGAAGCTTCCTAGTGGATGAATAATACGTACACTCTCTCCACAGCAGCAGGTTTGCTAATGTTTCCTGCTGCAGCCCAAAGAGTTTAGGCCCAACACAAACAAGTGCATTTAGAAACTTCTCATTGGCACCTGCATAAGTGAGCAAACCAGCAACATAAAAGGGTGTTCAACTGGCAAGTTCATTTACTGTAAAACAAATTTTCATAATTCTCTTTTCTTTCCTGTTTTCCACTGATGTTTTATCTGTTTTTACAACAATGTAACATGGAGCAAAGTGAACGTTGCGTTGAATGACAAGTTGGGCATGCCAATGAGAACACAGATCGAGGGCTGTCAGAAAGATGCAATAGTATTTTTGTTCACCTACCAATTCACCAAGCTACCCAGGGTTGTCCTAGGGAATGTTTCTTTTCCTTGTCCTCTTATTAAACACTGCACACATTATGCTGAACTGCATGGACTGCCATGCACAGTACACACAGATTCAAATGCAATGTCAAAGCCTTTAGTATAATGATTGTTACTCCATCATGTTACAAAAAATCTGTTCTCTAAAGATGACTTTGGCTGTGATGTACACATTCAGTCAAAATTATGCATATAGGACCTGAACTGCAGGTTGTTGAATCGAAAGGTGCTTTACTTAGCCCTGAGTTGTCCTCTTTCAATTCATGAGTACTGTACATGTTACAGCACAATTTACTTGAGAAGTCCAAATTATTTTTTACTTTACTAAGTAAAGAAGGAATCTGAAGTAAATACATGTGGTGTTTAATTACTTCAAACACCACATCTAATTCACGTGGTAGTAACTAAATGCGGTACAGGAGCTGTTGTGAAGTTACATGTGTACTGCGCCTAGGAAACAGCAAGCAGCTTCGAGTAATGATCTCATGAAAATCACTGCAGAAGTCCTATAGACACAATGAAAAATGGAAGTTCCAGTCTTCTGTTGATTCTTTCACTCGAAGAGTATTTGCATACCTCACTTTCTCTTAAAATGAATCCTCACCAAATAAGTCAACTTTCTGTCAGTCTACACAAATCGCTGCTTTCAGAAATGATGAATGAGAACTTGCGACATGATCACATATCAGGGTTGTAGAAACATGTGCCCATCCACTAGCTTTTCCTAAGCTCATCCGTGACGTCGATAAATATTTTAGTGCAGGCCAAGTATAGAAGTGTCTTAACACATGGATGATGTGTCCCAAGGCGCTTCCTATGTGACCCACCATCTTGGCACATACAATTTCACTAACTGCTTTGATGGATAAATATATGTATGCAAAAGGCAAGAGCTGGGTGTCATGCAAACCCTAAGGCAACTGCAACTATGAAGCTGTACCCACAACAAACAATATCTGCATGTTGGTGCTAAGTGCCAATAACTGAAAGTGTTTGAATAGAATGCGTGGCTATGAGGAGCAATATAATTTAGAGTAAAGTCTGACAACATAGAGATTGTCATTATCAGCACTACTTTAATAGTTTAACACTATCCCGGTTGAAGTAAAACTACATTTCTTTGAACTAACAGTGTTATATGTCAGAGTGTTTTTCAGGAAATAGAACTTATTCTACTAGCCCTATTTTAATTCAAATATTTTTTTCGAGGCATATCAGAGAAAAGTAGACTACATAGATGTACAAAAAGTACCCAAATATTCAAATGTTTATTCTACTAATAGTCAAATAGTCAATTAGTGGCAGATGACGGATGCAGATTGTTGACATGCTGATGAGGTTTGCAAGTTTTTTTTTTTTAAGCTCTGCGACGTGTGAAGTTTCCAGTCACGATGATAAACAAAACGGGCAACATTACTACGAAGAACTTGAACGCATGGATATATTGCAAGTTCAATGACCTTTTCACTCAAATAATAAAGACGGTACACAGTCAAGCGAGTGGCCTAGCTGCCACACTGCACGACTATAGAAAATATTTACCATGAGAAAACTAAAATACGGATAAGCGCCCAGGCTTTTTACCTATTTTTCCGCACAGGTACTCGGGCTATTGGCCTATCTTGAATAAGGGCGCGCAGACGAAACACTACATCTAAAGGAAGCGTGCGTTTTCCTTTTCTTCTTGCTATTTTCTTCAAATGGCTGAACACTGCATATTACTACAGCAAATCTTCGATTTTGAATCCATAATGCGTCGCGAACTTCACAAGAAAAAATGTTTTTTTTTTTTCCTTCTTCAGTATTCGATCGTCATACACTTCCCTTCGCCAGCCATGCTCAAGGTTGAAGATGAGGAAACAAAACCGGCGGCTACACACGTAAGGAAAACAAGGTGTGACACAGCACATCTCAATAGGCACATCGTTTAACTGACCATCGTGGCTGGCCCATCGTTGGGGCGCTTCGTGAGTTATTCACTAGGGCGCCGGCAGAACGTTAGCACAAACGTTCTCGACAAGTCGGCATGCGGGCGCCAGACACGGGGAACGGCAGCACTTCGTTTCAGCATCGTACACTTGCTGCAAGCTCGCAGTAAATAGGCTACATTCTCATCCTAATCAGGACGAACTATGGCGAGAAAGCCATAATTTGTCCGAGAAAGCCATAGTTCGTCCTGATACATACAATTTACAATCCAGGTATACTTACAATTTTACTTCGACCCGTGAGTAGTTAATGGTTACGTTGGAACGAATGAAACCACCGCAGCCCATCACATCGTCCGATTTAGCTGAACTCACGGCGGCCAATAGCACGGCTGCAATGCTATATAGCAGGACCTCCATCGTATGCTAAAGGGCTGCTAAAATCAAGCTAAAGCTAAGCAACACTTCATTTAGCTGAGCCTGTTCACATTCCTTCGAAGGAGTCGGGGTACTCGGCGCAAGCAGACAGGCAGCAACCCACGTGCCGTGACGTCACAGTAATCATCTATCCGTTGGCAACTGTCGCGAAGTCTTGTGCAGTTTCGGTTTTTGTTCAGCGAACTCTGCACTACTACCCAACGTTGCTACTTCCTACAGCACTGTCTAGATGTTTAATAAAAAGAGTAATTATAGTAGAACATGTAGTTACCAAAGTCTTCCAAAGATATCCTGAGAACGTTTCAGAAATGAGAGCAAATTGATAATTTTGGTTATATGAAATTCAGATGCAGGGAACAGTATATAGACATGAGTGGTTTGGGGGGTTCAACCCAAGGAGGTTTAGATGAATCTTGCTGAAGGGGAGGCCACGAATGGGGTGCAGATGGGCTGATCATGTACGTCAAAGACAAAACCGGGAATAATTTTTTTTTGGCGCTGCTAGTACGGCAAAACTGAAACATTCAAAAAAAGAATTATCGGCTTCCAGCAGCTTCTACAGAGCAGGGATCATGCTATTCATTTTCGAATAAAGAAAATGATTTTCTTGAAGCAGCAAGCACTCTGATTAGTCCATAGAATGATTGCTCGTTCACATTCATAACAAAGCAGGCGAAGCGTCCATAGCAAAGCAGTATACGCGTCCGCGCCTTGTACTGTAGCCAGCTTTGCAATATGGTACAGTACAAGGCGTGAAAGCATCACATAGGCGGCGCGCAAGGCAAGCCTTCAAAAAAAAAAAAAAATCGTCACAGCAGAAATGTCGGAAAAATTTCACTATATTAAAACATTCCCTGGTAACATTCTCATTTCCTCGTAACAATATAATTGAGCGATTACTGTGGTGAATGAAAATTTCGCCTTAGTTCTTGGGTTTCCCAGTGTGCAGCCGACAGTGACCACTGTCGAAATTGAGGGGGGGGGGGGGAGGGGGCAGCTCAGCTTTGCAAACTTATCTCAGTGGGGGGGCGGGCTCGCGTCCCCCTCACCCCCCCCTTCTGTTCAAAAAATCCACAGTAACTCAAAGCGCACTCACTTCACCCGTGTCGTGCACTGAGAGCTATTCTGGCTACACCGCTAAATAAAGAACGAAATGATCTTGTAGACGCCTATATAATTTCAACGAATAGTTAACGTTATTTTATTTTCCCAGTCGCTTAGGGGTATCTACAAGCACAAGGATGTGTACAGAGGACATCGCGGGTGTTTTAGAAACGTAGCCCCAGTCAGTCAACTTGCGGGTCACAATTTAGTCCGGTTCTTACAATATTTCGACGAGTGCTGTATTCTCGCTACCAGTAATCTCGTCACCTAATGACACAAGCGTTCAACAGCACACCACGAAGTTCTTCGAACATTTTGTTTCTTAAGAAACCCGGTAGGAAGAAAAAATGACCGTGTGATATGTGAATACAGGTTGAGAGCTATCAAGATGCATGTGTTCCGTTTTCATGGAGCTCGAAATATGACGCTTACATCTGAAATATTATCCCAGAAAACCTTTTCACTTGAACTGTGTAGCCTTAAGAAAGGCACGGTGCATCTATTACAACGTCCGGCCACTATACAACACCGGCGAACATCTGGAACATCTGCCCGGCTCCAACCGCTCAAGTTGCGGAAGGCGAGATTTCTGCCTATGGCAAGATACCGGCGCGCAGCTTCACCTGAGGGCTGCCGCCTCCACTTCAGCCCTATTACAGTGTACTACTACAGTGTACTACTACAGTGTACTAGAAGGGGGCAGTGGAGTGAACGAGGCGGCCGCGCCGCATCTCGGCTGATTCTCCGGCGGATGACAGTAGCGGCGGCGGTCTTGTCCCATGGTACTGAAGATCTCAGGAGCGCCTGAATTGAGAGCGTGCACGCCGTAGCCTGTGAAAGCGTGTAATTGCTCGTTTGTAGCGCGTTTAATGTGTTTCTGAGCCTTTATAAGTAGACTCACCGCTACGCGCCATGGTACACGAGTGAATATGCAGGCACGCCGAAATTGCGTCGATACATTCACTGTTTTAAGAGCCTGCCGACCCACAAACAAAAAGAAAGAAAAATGTCAATCGAAGTTTGCACGGATGCGTCTAGCTTCTCACTCAAGCAGCACTTTGAGCTGCGTTACATATTAAGTGGCTACTGGTGAACTAGAAAGAGAGGAGAAGAATCAATACTGCTATTAAATGATACGCTCGTTTTGTCGGCCGTCACTACCATATGCAGAGCACAGTGTTCCTTATATTAGCCTACATGCACTCGATCATTTCACAAGGAACCCGTGTAACGCTGTTACGACATTTATATCGATCACGACTCATCATGGCAGTTTCGCGGAAGATAATTTTTGCTTTCTGACAGGCCTATTACATATTGAACATGTCAAAAAGTCACACAAACATATTAAAAAGTGCCAATTGTATTTATAGCCTGTCTGCTAATCTGCGTAAATTCAAAGTAACCACTTCTCATTTTCTACCAACGGCTTAAATTGTGCTGCTTTCCAAATAATCTATTGGCGTAACGCCATTGCAAGCCAGCGAATTTAGGACGATGTTTTGTATTATAACCATAGTTCTATTATTAAGTGTCAAAAGTGTAGGCAGGCAGTGGTGCATCTTGTTTTGAGAAATTAACTTGTATACGTACACAGTAAACACACACACGTATGTATGTATGTATGTATGTATGTATGTATGTATGTATGTATGTATGTATGTATGTATGTATGTATGTATGTATGTATGTATGTATGTATGTATGTATGTATGTATGTATGTATGTATGTATGTATGTATGTATGTATGTATGTATGTATGTATGTATGTATGTATGTATGTATGTATGTATGTATGTATGTATGTATGTATGTATGTATGTATGTATGTATGTATGTATGTATGTATGTATGTATGTATGTATGTATACATAACCACAAGTACACACATTTAAGTCGCACGTCACCGCCCCATCAACAACATCCATGCAATGCCCCTTAGCACAGCTGCTATTTTTAGGCGGTGCATTTCTCGTCCGAGTAAATTAGACGAACTAGTTTTAGGACGTCATACTGTCGAAAAGGTAAAATTTGCAGCGCGTATTTGTACAGAGACACGTTATATTCAGCTTCAGCGCAAAGCTAGCTAGCACCCAGAATTTTTTTGAAGGGGGGGATGCAGCAGAGCCACTAACTTTGGCAATTGGTGGTCACTGTGAATGCGTGTAAATACTTTACCCTAAAAAGTTAAATCACGAAAAAAAATCATGGTGTACGGTGTTAAGGTTCCCTCCCTCTCCCCTCTCTACTAGCTGCATCCTGGTTCTGCGTGCGTTTGAAACGGAATTTTTAAAATCTCACAGCTTTCTGAGCGCAGCTAACTTCCAATATATCGGCTCAGTTATTCTGCCTATTGTAGACACCTAACTAACGAAAAAACCGTTAAGACAGAAGAAATTGTTATAAGACTCCTTTTTTTTTAATTATTTTCGATCTCTACAAGGGCTCTTATGGAGCTCAAGTTCAGTATATTGGCTTGTCATACTTCAAGGACTATGACATTAAGTGCTAGACATGAATGATGGGCAGCTACGAAGAAATCTGAATCAAGAAAGCACGACGGAGGAGCCGAAACGCATAGCAGTTCCTGCACGTGGTGCACAGCTCTTTTAGTACTATTCGATTGCAGCGCTGCCGCTACGGGCAATGCGGAAAGGATCAGGCGGCGAGGCGCGGTCATGCCACTCAACACTTCTAGTACACTCTAACCCTACCAACTTTACGTTTTCCCGCTCACTTTAATCAAAGTGCCTGCTTGAATAATCCACATGCCATGAAATATTCTGAGTGCCAAGCTATTCAATTAATGACCCAAACGTTTAATCCAAGCGCCAACTCAATACATAGCTCATGACGTCACTGTTGCTACGGTCGTACTGCAGCGGCCATATGTATGAACCACCGCGCGTGCTTGTGGTGTGATTGCAGTATTCAGTACGACAGAGCCGCACTGCCACGGTCACTATCTTCCTCGCGATTGTTTTTTTTTCTCTTTTTCTGCATCATGATGCCGGTTGGCACAAGACAGCCGTTAAATGCGGCGTGCCACTCGAAGTTCTTAGAAGATCGTTCTTGCTACGAGGAGAAGGTGCACTTGAGTGACAGAGTGGATCCGTACACGCGTACATCGACCAGGAATGGGCACTATACTTCAAACATCTCTGCCATCCCAGAGGTGTCGCATGGTGGCATCATGAACTATATGGTTTTGAGCACCAGTTTTGTAACTCAGGTGAATCGAAGGCTTTGAAATCAGTGGAAGCGCACAACTACTTCACCAGCGGCTGGGAAAAAGCCTGTCTGCTAAGCTGCTTCGCGAGCGTCGTTGCAGAGGTAAGTTTAAATGTTCAACAAATTTATACATACTACAACCCTGAAATATCAAATAGCGATGCATGAACCCTGCCTAATCAACAAATACCGATGTCTGCGCTCAGTTCTCACGCCAGTACAGTGAGGTGCTCACGTGGCGGCGTGCGCCGATAGCGCCTCCTCGTTTGCGTGTTGCTGTACGTGTGTGCATACGTATGAGCGTACGTGTGTGCGAACGAAGTACTGAGAATTTAGTCACTGTATATGAACTGTCATCGTGCGGGAGCCGCATTCGGATTCATCTACACGAACGGGTGCCTTCATCTTGTTCAGCAGCAGAAACGCGTGATTAAATTTTGAAGTGGCAGAAGGGGAAATTCATGATGAAAGTGGATATGTACTCATTAGCGTTGGTCATGGAGGATTTGCTCGGGACAGAAGGGTTCGTAATGCAGCGTTCTTTGATTTTTCGTCAACAGGTGAACGGGCAGTGGTGACGCGGCGACATCAGCGGCAGCACACGTCCGGCTCAGCTCCTGCATCCGCGATCATCGTGTCGGCATGTTGTCGGCGCCATTCGAACTGCGATTGCCACTTATCATGATGCCGTCTTCCCTCGCGCTCATGCCGCGCAGCACCTGTATGCTTGGAGCAGCAGCCGAGTTGCTGAGACGGCGCCCAATCTGGGTTCGTCTCGTCGAACAAAGAGAGCTCCACAGGCACGAACATTGTCGTTTTGTTCGTCCGAACGCGCACGCCTTTTTTATGCGTGCCAGCCCTTCGACGGTTCGTGCTGAGCCTTTTCGTACGCTCGCACTAGTCTTCGCTCGCACTACTCGCACAGTAGTACGAGTAGTGCAACGTGCTGCGTCATGTCGCCGATAGTAGTGCGAGCGTAGTGCGAGTAGTACGCACTACTATCGGCGACGTGACGCAGCACGTCAATTGGTCCAAACCAGGCCTCAACAAACAGTAATAAAGTCAACGACAGTTCCTGTTCCCACCCACCACTGCTACGACAGAGCAATTCAATCATATGAGTTGCGGAATGCATCGAAATCGAAACACTTCACTACAGTGCTCTAAATAGGGGTAGTGGGACGAGCGGAGAGCGGAAACCAGCAGCGGCGACGAGGCGAAACACACAAAAATTTTCGTGCACGGCATGGTGGCACCACAGCGCCTTTCTCTTCCCTCAAAGCAACGTTATGGTGGCTAAAATAGCAACGTTGAGCGTGCGTTCAGCCAACAGGCGCTGGCGATTGTAGTCGCTTGTGCGTGGTATTTTTTACTCGAGTGATTAAAGTAACGCTGAGTTAGATAGAACAACCTTGGCAGAAGAAGTATTCTTTTGCGCCAAGTTGTCAAAATGGGTATAACAACGAAACTGCTGCCGTACTGACTGAATTGACAGCATGGGCTCGATGCTGTCTTCTAAGCAGTCTTCGTATACTGTCTACGTGCTGTCTAAGAATTGGAACACAGCTCTAGTCACTACGTAACCATTCTGCTCGTTACATCTGAATGCACTGTTTATGAATCATGCAATAATAGTAGATATTGTGTGATGTGCCGGAATAAGTAATAAAAATAGTGAACTTGTTACATTTGTATATTCTCTATGTTTATGACACCCCACGCAAGATTACCCAAAGTTTGGTAACATTTGCACAAAAGAAATAATGTGCTAAAATAAATGAACCGGGTAATATCAGTCACTGCGTTTTTACTTGAAACATTTAAAAGTTACTACCCATGGTTGGTAACAGCTAGAGTGATAAGAGTTACAAAAGGCCTGTAGCAACAGCAAAGGCAGTAGCTGTTACCACCCTCGCCATTACTAACTGCGCTTACTACCAGGGTTGTAACATATAGGACAAAACATTACTACTCCAAAGTTAGCAAGTATACTACCTTTTTTTCAAGAGTGTGCATTCTATGAGGAATAAAAGGAAAAAGGGATTTCGAAAGACGTCATCTCCTGTCCGGAGGCGCTGCGGGAGATATGGTGCCATTTGGCAGTAGTGTTAAAAAACGAAAGTTAGGACGCCAAGCCACTGATAGGTGACAAAACCGGGTTGTTTTAGTTAAAGCTGAATGTTAACAGTGCAGGAACACAAACACGTAGGGCGATGTATCATGATAGACTCAGGACACCGGTACCTTGCACAGCACTGCCGACAGAGTATTGGTTTGATTCTGGCGCTCTTGCGTTTCTTGTTATGCGTTTTTGTTAACTTTTAGCGAGTTTTACCACACACTACCTTCTTCAAAGCAAGCGACTGCGTAATCACGGCTTCTTCACAAAACAATTGACTGTGATCGCAGAAATAATCTGTGTTTCACGAGCCTTGTAGGTGAATGCTCGCCTTAGGGCACTGTTTTGCTTCCTAATAATGCACACATTTGGGAATCGTTTTGATGTACACACTGTTGAATTTCTGAAATATGTGAAAAATGGCCATTCTTAAACCTAAGGAGGCTACATATTTCATTGTGAAAATGCACTGTATTCGCAGCACGAACGCGTTTTATCCACAGCCTACTTTGCGTGCATTAATGGGGAACGTTTCACAAACAATTCTGAACATTAAGTTTTGTGGCGAAGCGTATGTTGAAAGGACACGGTGGCCTGTCAGCATTCTATTTGTTATGACGTAAAAAAGCATCTCCTTCGGTATTGGCAGTGGTATATCTGATCATGCTACTTTAACTCATGAATGACAGAAGTGTAAATTTAGGGGCTCGTTTTTTTTCTTAGACACAATGATAATAAAATTCAACAGTCATTGTCTGTAGGATCTCAATTGTTTATCCTCCGTTTCAGGTAAAGTGAATACTGGAACGCTTCTGCAAGATCGAATTCGCATATATAGCCTATCTTCAGGCTCAGTTGTTCTACAGTTTTTTACTTGGCTGCTAAACGCCTACAGACCAAAACGAAGGGATTGGCTGGTTTATATTCGCACTGTTCTCGTTCACAGTTTTCTCACTGAACCCATAAAGATGATGACGTCTGGTTCGTTGCTTTTTATGAAAAACATGAAAGGATGATCCACGGTGAATCGCATTGTCTGCGCAGCGACCTTTCCGGTAGACTCGATAACCGCCCTGGCCATGCTAGCTGCAGGTTCGGTGCCTTCTTCATTCACCTCGACTGCCGCCTTGTGGATGATCTCGGACACCGCTGGCCGATCGCTTTGGAAGATACCCGAGAGGTCCGCTTCGCCCGGCGTAAACAAGTCCTTGACGCCGAGATCTTCCAATGTCTTCTTTAGAGGTAAAGTATAATCCAACTTGAACTTCGGAAGGCTTACTTCTACGTCTTGTACCTTCATATCTGCAAGAAGCATGGAAATCCTAGTCCAAGTTATCGAATCTTCTAGGGAGAACAATCCCTCAACCTCGTCGGGCAGGAGGATTACCATCGATGCTTTTTGGCCTCTGTATGGTATCTCCAAGGCCGTGGCACACAGCTCCTCTGAGTGGCCTACTTTGAAACTGCAGTCTGTAAGCATCATGTTCACTCGCACGGTGGTCTTGTAGTCAATGCGAAAGTTCTGTCGCGTTGTATTAACAGAATGGAAAGGAAATTGCCAAAAGCTTTTGAAGGAGATGGCACTCGTATGAACTAACAGAGTGCGAGAGTCGACGCTGCCGGGACGAAGCATGTCTTGAACCTTGGATGCAGTTTGCTCCGAGGCCCAGTGGTTGGCTTCCTGTCGAACTGCCTCGTGGTCGCTCGTGAAGTTGACGGTCTTCAGCGTTGCTCTATATGACGATTCCAGGAGATCTATGTAGCTGCTTCGGACTGGAAATTGCTGGTCACTGTAGATTCTATTGGCCACGAAGAATGTGGCACCAGGAGCACAGCCAGACATCGTGGTCAGCAAGTTGCGAAAATGCTCGCGGATCTTGTCCTTGCTCGCCTTCAAGTTTAGAACAGCAAATATTTGTTTAGATGTAGTGCTGCCCGCTCCACCACCAAGCATCGCGAGCGCGCTGGTTATGCTGAAGGGCGAGCACACAACGTTTTCGTTCTCCATGTTTTTTGACTGCAAATGCTGGTACATGCGTATGGTAAACTTGAGCAGCGCATCACAATACGTTGTCGACAGCATTGTGGAAGTGGGCCTGAAAAAAAAAAGGTACTGCTGGTTAGACTTGAAGAAATTTATTCTGTACACGTTCGTAAACCTGTTGGGCAACGCGCTGCAGCATATTTGCACGCATTAGCATGCACAAAAAGTTACAGGAAAACAGAAAACGCTACTTATTGCCGTCAGCTCTTCAGTGGTCAGTGGTCCAACACACAATAATGCCAAGGAAGGTATAGAGGAAGTTATTAGGCCAATTGTAATGTATATGAGAAAAAAGAAAAGTGGGTGAAAAGATAACTTGCCGTGTAGGATCCTGCCCACGGCAAGTTAACTTTTCACCCACTTCTCCTATACCTTCCTTGGCATTATTGTCTGTTAGATCTCATTAATATTGTGTAAAACACGAAAAAGGAGCCCTTAAGTATACACTTGTTTCCCTTATTCATTAACGAGGGTCTCGTACTGGCAGACTTGGTGCCTCTAGGTTGTATACGGGGGACTATTGGTCAGTTGCCAGTTAGTAATAAGTTCACGTGCTACGTGACGCCAACAGGCTCATAAAGAGTGTACCACACTCGCCGCCATGGCTAGTAGTGGCGCTGACTGACACTCCCACGTTTAAATTGACATAGATACCCAATAAAGTGGCTGGGGGGATAGCTGCCAGGGTAGCTCAGTGGTAGAGCATCGAACGCGATATTCGAAGGTCGCAGGTTCGAATCCTGCCCATGGCAAGTTATCTTTTCACCCACTTTTCTTTATTCTCATTTAAATTACAATCGGCCTAATAACTTCTCCTATACCTTCATTGGCATTATTGTCTGTTAGATCTCATATATATATATATATATATATATATATATATATATATATATATATATAGTAACAATGCCAGAATTACCCGCTCGTTTCCGGCGGCTCTCCGTCGCTCCTTTCTAGTTCATCTCCTTCTTCTGCTTCTTGTTGTTTGTTGCTACCTCGTTCGCCCGCTTGTCTTTTTCTCTCTCTCTTTTTTTTGGAGTGTCTTTAAACTGTGAGGGTGACCCTCTGCTACGGGAACTTGTATCATTTCACTTACATCCTCCGAAGAAGGCTGGTCCACCAGCCTAAACTGTTAGGATTAAATAAATATTTTATTGTTTTGTTTCCTATACTTCACTATTCTCGAAGTTTATATCTTTTATTACGGTAGCCGGAAGAAACTCTGATCATCTATTTCATCTATATATATATATATATATATATATATATATATATATATATATATATATATATATATATATATATATATATATATATATATATATATATATTGTTACGTCTACGACAGGGGTTTATTCAGAGCCGACGTAACGGTCGACTCGACGGTATACAGCAGTGAACGCGCAGCAGCGAGCTCTTGCCACCAACCGAACGTCCTCTTCTTCTGCCACCACCATGTTCCCCGCTACACAGGTGCACATACCTAAATTACACATTTGGTAACATTTTCCTTCGCGCAGTCGAAGCCCACTGGGCGAATCAAACAGTCTCTCGAGGAATAAAGCGCTTCAAACGTGCAACATGGACAAGTTCAGTTTTTGCAGACCGTCGGCCGTTTGAATGGAGACGCGCTATGCGGTAAACTAAATCACTGATGCGGTCTACAACAAGATAAGGTCCCGCATAGGGCACTAGCAGTTTCTCGCTCAAACCGCGTTTTCTAGTTGGTGTCCACAACAACACTAGGTCGCCGCGATTGTACGTCACGTGTCGGCGTCGGTGGTCAAAATGTGCCTTCGAGCGGTCTCGCGAAGCAAGAGTGCGCAAATAAGCAAGGCGTCTAGCTTCTTCGGCCCGACAGATGATCTCGGATATGCAGGGATCATGGTGGTCCAAACACGGGAAGATGGTATTCAGGGTATGACGAGGTGGCCGAGCATATAGAAGAAAGGACTGTAGCCGGTAGTTTTATGCTGTGCGGTGTTGAATGCATAATTGATAAAAGGTATAATACTGTCCCAGTCCTTGTGATCTGATGCGACATACATAGACAGCATGTTCATGAGAGTTCTGTTTGTTCATTTAGTTAGACCATTCGTTCGGAGATGATATGGTGTAGAGTGCCGAAACCTTGAAGCGCAGACATGAAGCATCTCTTCCATCACGTCTGCTGTGAATTGTCGGTCACGGTCACTGATTACAATTTTGGGAGGTCCATGTCGAAGAATTACAAAACGTAGCATGAACGAAGACACATCGGCTGCAGTTGCCGATGATATGGCAGCTGTCTCGCAGTACCGTGTTAAATGGTCGGTGCAAACGACTATCCAGCGATTTCCATCAGAAGACCGGGAAAAGGGTCCAAGGAGGTCAATCCCGACTTGCTCGAATGGAGTTCTAGGGGGCGGCACCGGATGTAATCGCCCTAAAGGAGCACTTGTTGGGCGCTTATGACGTTGGCACTCGTTACAGCTAGACACGTATTGTTCCGTCGTCTGGCGCATTTTGGCCAGTAGAATCTTTCTTGAAGACGGCCCAAGAGTTTTCGCTGTGCCTAGATGACCGGATGTTGGGTCATCATGCATAGCCTGCAAGACATAAACGCGAAGACTCTTCGCAACCACCGCAAGATATCGTGAGCCGGTGTTGGTGTAGTTATTTTTGCAAACTAGCCTGTCTCGGATGCAGAAGCGCGTAGGCGATGATTTTGGTTTCGTAGCAAGAAGCTGTTGTATGGTGCTGTCCCTTTGTTGCTCATCCTTAAAGGTCTTGTTATCGGGAAATGGTTGGTAGAGTGATGCGATGTAGGTATCGAAGGTGTCCACGTCACATTCCGTCGTTGGAAGCGGTAGTCGCGAAAAACAATCTGCATCAGCGTGACGTCGGCCACTTTTATAGGAAACCGTGAAGTCATATTCTTGTAGACGAAGTGCCCAGCGTGCCAGCCGAGCAGATGGGTCACGCAGATTGACCAACCAGCAGAGAGATTGATGGTCTGTCACGACGGTAAAGGGGCGTCCGTACAGGTAGGACCGGAAGCGCTGCACTGCGAAGACTACTGCAAGGCATTCTTGCTCTGTGACAGTGTAGTTACGCTCGGACTTGCTGAGCGAGCGACTTGCATACGCTAGGACGTGTTCTTGATTATCCAAGCGTTGAACCAGGACAGCACCTACACCAATACCGGTGGCGTCTGTGTGAATCTCAGTGGGCGCCAGAGGATTGAAGTGTCGAAGAATCGGATGAGACGTCAAAAGAAACTTCAACTCCGAAAAAGCAGACTCGCATTCCGGGGTCCAGTCAAACTGCGCACCTTTCTGAAGCAGACACGTGAGCGGGTATGCGATATTGGCAAAGCCAGGACTGAATCGGCGAAAGTATGAACAAAGCCCCAAAAAGCTGCGCAGTTCTTTCACCGAGTTTGGTTGCTTAAACGCATCCACTTGGCGGTATCCGGTCTTGGCGGGATCCGGTCGTATGCCTTCTGTGTTTACTAAGTGTCCAAGGACGAGTGTTTGGCGCTCTCCAAAACGACATTTCTTTGAATTGAGCACCAAGCGTGCTTTGCTTAGGCAGTCTAGTACGAGGCCAAGGTATGTGTTGTGCTCACAAAAGGTGCGCCCAAAAATTACAACGCCGTCCAAGTAACACATACACACTTCCCACTTCAATCCACGCAGAATGTTGTCCATAAATCGCTCAAAAGTTGGGGGCGCGTTGCAGAGTCCGAACGGCATCACATTGAATTCAAGTAGTCCATCTGTTGTAACAAATTCCGTTTTCTTCTTGTCTTCCTCGTGCATTGGAATCTGCCAGTAGCCTGACCTCATTCACAGACGAAAAGTAAGAGGCCGATGATAGACAGTCGATAGCATCATCAATCCGCGGGAGTGGATATGGGCCTTTTTTAGTGATGGCGTTGAGACGGCGGTAGTCAACACAAAATCGCCATGTCCCATCCTTCTTCTTCACTAGAGTTACTGGAGCGGCCCACGGACTACATGATTCTTGAATTACCTTTTGCTTGAGCATCTCGCAAACCTGTTTATTGATCACTGCGCGTTCCGAAGGCGATACACGATATAGTTTCTGTTGGAGAGGTCTGTGAGATGTGTCGATTCGGTGCTTTATACGAGAAGCAGGGAATGACGGTGAATCATGCTGAGCGAAATAAAAAATACCGGCATGTTTGCGCAGAATACTAGCCAGTTCATTACGTTCCTTGGTGCTGAGTGACTTATCAATCATAGCCATAATGGTGGTGTCCCTGGCGTGCAGATTATCGCAACGGGTCTTATCAGGAAAATCACTGCTTTCTGCAAGGGTGGCAAGCGAGAATACTTGGTGTTCACGAATCTCTGCAATTTTCAGACACTCCGGCAGCACTGTAGGTTCATTAGAGCAGTTAATCACCCATAAACCAGTATGCCCTTGCGCAACCGATAGCGTGCAGTAGGGTATTAAGACTGTCTTTATGCAACTGAGATGCACGGGCTCCACAGTTGCGTCAAATGTTTCCTCGCTTGCAAGTGAACAGACAACAGGGACACACTTTGCAGACAAAGGCGGCACAGTTGTGTCCACAGAAACGCAAAGAGCACTTTCTTGAGAGGGCGAGTTTTCCATAAACGCAACTGGGATATCGTAATCTACTGTAATTTGTCCTGTGCGGCCATCGACAGTAGCACCACATAGCTTCAAGAAATCGTGTCACAGAATGACGTCATGCGTAGTATGAAGGAGAACAGCAAACTCTGCGACAAAGTTCTGGCACGCCAAACTAACAATCACAGTGCAGACGCCAACAGGTTGTAACACCTCGCCGCTCACTCCACGAAACATAACCTTTCGTCCAAGAAGGCGGGTGAAAACTAAACTCATTACTGACATGGTTGCAACTGTGTCCACCAACGCCATTGTTGGTACACCATCGATAAGCACTCGAACCTTATTTCTAAACATGGAAGCTAATGGAGGTATATCTGTTGAAATCGAAGACTGTCCGGCGACCTCACCTCCAACGGCCGCGCCGGCTAGTT